CTGGTTCGGAGGAGGCGTAGAGAAACACTTTCTTGCCCATAAAAAACTATAGAGGGATCGTCACTCAACGGCGATGCTACCTTGGCTTCGGCGAGAATATATCTAATCCACGAAGACGGATTGTCGCTCAGCGACGATGCTACCTTGGCTTCGGCGAGAATATGTCTAACCCAAGAAGTAGAAGAGAGAAACCTAGAGCAAGGGACAAAGACAATGTTGAAGCCGGAAGAGTCGCCACATTGGGCGAATGAGCCAATTTTGACGAGAAGAGCAACAACGACTTGGTTGGCAAAGAGGCCAGTGGCGCCCAGATTCCAAAGGTAAATCTCTGCAGAAGGTCGATAGGTTTAGGTTAGGGTTTCTATGAAGGATGAAGGGAAGATTGAGAAGAAAATGAAAGAGACTATGTTGGTGGAGAGAAAATCGATTGTGTTGGAAAAGGTGAGGTTGTATGTACAGAGTGTGGCGAAGGGTGATCTGGAGGTCAAAAAGGTGGAGACGAAAAGTAATCAATCAGCTCCCCTTGCGGCAACCATGACAACTGCCCCTGCGTCAAAATCACCCGTGGTGGTGGAGAAAAACAGTAGAGGATTTAAAAGCCATTGAAAAGAAATGATTGGGTTGTTAAATCGAGAGGGCTCCGATACCATAAGAATATTTGCTAAAACCACCCCACCTAAATGGTGTGAAAGTTATCTTGTGTGAAAGTTATCTATTTATAATCAAACAAATTACAAAGATATGGGAAGAGTAATAAATGGAAATAACAATTGGAAAGATTCCTATGGTAAAAAGGCAAATATCTAAATATTTAACTTATAATCAAATATCAAATATAATATATATGGTAAACCATAATTTAGTACTAAATATTCTTAAGAGTACCGATAGAGAAAAAATAAGACTCATATACCATGGATCTCTCCCTTTCCTAGCTAGGGTAAGAATTTATTTACATCGAACATCAATGTACGATGGAACTGTAATTGTAATTTACCTGTCTTCCTCGCTCGGTCACGCTCTATGAAGTCTCAACTATCAAAGAACGATTTCATACATGTCACTTCGAGGGCCTCAAGGGAACCACCACATTAAAAACAAGCCTCCATAATAAATGCAGAGGAGGTTTCAACCAAAAAGATAAATAAACATTCCCATTTTCCATTGTAAATTGTAAGGCATCACCAAGGGCTCAATAATTCACCTGTTCCAGCGGCCACAGTACGGCGAGTCGGATTGTAATGAATGCTGGGATAAGGAGGAAAGCACAGTTGCCGTCCATCAGAAATAACTCAGGAACATGTGGGCATCATTCTTGAAGTTAAATGAGCTTTGACCATCAAAAGAATGAGTAATGGCTTCCCACAAAATGTGTAATCCATAAGGTTACACTTGAATACATCACATCATATGAATTTCCACCGACGAGTAACCTGCATATACAAACACTTGACAAACGAAGTTAAACGAACTAGCACTGTTTTCAGAATTGTGTCAATTGAGAAAGGCAACTAAGATAAGAATCCTTCCAGAAATTGCAAGAAACCTGCCCGGCAGCAGACACGAGCCATTCAAGGTTAACAATCATTGTTACAGATATTGTCCTCTTTGGACTTTCCCTTTCGAGCTTCCCCTTCAGGTTTTAAAAAAAAAGGTTTCCACGCTCTTATAAAGAACGTTTTGTTCCCTTCTCCAGCCGGTGGGATCTCACAAGAAAACAGGAGCAATTATCGTTAATAATGAAAACGTTGCCTTCCCTAAAACAATAAAAACCAACATCACGATAAATTATTGAAGTTAATTCTAGATGAAAATGAATAATGGAAAGAGATGGAAACAATTTATTCTTAGATATTTATCAAATAAAATTGGGCCATGAAAAGAAAATAAATAGAGCAAAGATGAGATGGACAGGCAAGTGCCAACTGCCATGAGTGCAGCCGTTCTACAGGAAAAAGAAAATTGTCATTAAGGATAAAGAAAATTCAGAAGCTCTCCCAAGAGTCAAGAACAAAGGCACCCTAGAAAGCTTTGAACACAGTTATTAGCATGGCTGCTACAATCATGCAGTCAACAATTAGAAGTACAAAATCTCATTGCAGCTTTCAAAGTTCATTAGCATCAGATCCAGTCTGTTACTCTAGCCTTATCAGCAGGCTAAGAGCTATCATCCTTAGTCAACAAAAGCCAGAAGGATAGGTACAGCTTCATGTCAAATTACTCATACGAGTCTAGAACAGATAAAGGATTGATAATTTGGTCTAGTTCATCTCATGATGGCAATTTAATGCACTCAATAATAGAATGGTGTAACGGGACCATTGATAAGAGTTAAGAGCTCATCAGTTATATATTCAGCTTCCACCATGATTCATCAACCAGATTGAGGAATAGAAACAGTATATGCCCAGTTCTTTATTCAAGAACGTCCGGAAGTGGAATCTTCACAAGAGTACATACGTATATTCCCAACGATTTAACGGTAAGAAATTGAAGAGGCCTGACTAATATTGTAACAGCTCAAGCCTACTGCCGGCAGATATTGTCTTTTTTAGGCTTTCCCATTCAGGATTCTACTCAAGGTTTTTAAAATGCATCTACCAGGGAGAAGTTTCCACACTCTTATAAGGAATGTTTCGTTATCCTCCTCAACGGATGTGAGATCACACAATCCACCCCCTTCAGGGCCCAACATCCTCGCTAGCACTCATTCCCTTCTCCAACGATGTGGGCCCCTAATCCACCCCCCCTTCGAGACCCAATGTCCTTGCTGACACACCGCCTCGTGTCCACCTCTTACAGAGCTCAGCCTTCTCGCTGGCACATCGCCTAGTGTTTGTCTTGGATACCATTTGTAATAGCCCAAGCTCACCGCTAGCAAATATTGTCCGTTTTGGCCCGTTACGTATCGCCATCAGCCTCATGGTTTTAAAACACGTCTGCATTTCCACACACTTACAAGGAATGCTTTGTTCCCCTCTCCAACCGACGTGGGATCTTACAAAAATCCAAACACACTCAGCGCGAGAAGAATTCCATTAATACAGGAGTACCTACTACCTTTGTTCACACCATGTTTTTGCCTTCATAAATAATTATTTAATCTAGTGTACAAACGTGGCATGCAGTGAATGAATGGAGTATTCATGCTCTAGAAGCAGAAGAAATTTTCCACCGGCCAGTATCAAACAAGGCAATCATTTTTACTGCAATCCAAAACGAAATTGAACTGAACAGATGGGAACTTTACCATGCTCAGCTGAAATGAATGGCTATATTTGTTTGGTGATTAAAAATGTAGAAGATCTTGAACATATAAACAAGGATAAGAGCTCCATAGGTACAAAAAATTTTGTGCAGAATCCAAGTAGAGTGAACAAAATCAAGAGAACAAAATGCTTCTAAAACTAGCACAATACAAAGTGAAAATCAAAGCACAAGGGTTATTAACATGCCCACTGTATATTTGTATAGTCCATTCCTAAATTAAAATTCATGGTGGGGACAGGTGCGGTGGAAACTAACTTGAAACATCAAGGCAATGAACAGTGTGTCTAATTTGTTACAGTACAGAAACCAAATGTAAAAACCAATCCGGATTCCGGTCAGCAATTTTTGTTTGTATGTTTGTTTGTATTACTTACGGCGTTAGATACGTCGTAGAATCCGAGAGTTAAATCAAAACCCTAGAAGTTGAGACGTCGAATCGTGCATCTCCCAGAGTCCATTCAGAACGGAGAATGCTGGAAAGAATCAAACGCATGCAGATACAGATACTGTTAGGAGCATAACTTGTGAGCCATATGTAGCTAAAAGCAGAAGAACAATGGCGGAAAAGAAAGCAAGGGAAAGAGATGAACCAGTCGGTTTCTCCTTTTCACCAGCCTTCGATCGGTTTTGGATCGTCAATGTCAAGCAGAGCTGCCGCTTTGCTCCGCGCCAAAATGGGACAATTTTGCTATTTTGTATATTTGCTCCATAAATTACGTTTCCTAATAAATTTCTAAAATTTCAAATTTGTGTATTTTCTAATAAATTTAAAGTTATTAAAGTATTTAATAAATAAAAATTATTTTTTTGTATCGATGAAATTCTAAACCCATTTGATATCAATTTCATTTCTAGTTTTATGGTTTTGAAATTTATACTTAATAGTTTTCTGGTTTTGATATTTATGCTTATTTTTTTCATAGTAGTTTTCACCTTTGATTTAAAAAAAAAAAAATAGTCAATTTCTAAAAACAAAAAACTATTTTTTGAAAATTAGTTTATTGCTTGGTTTTTTAAATCATAAATATAAAGTGGATAATAATAAACTCAGTCGAATTCTACCATAAACTCAGTCCGATCATCTATTCAATTTTTTTAATAAAAATAAATGTTAGTTCGTAAAATATTTATTTATTTATTTTTAAATATTTAATTAAAATTTGCAACTTAGAATATATTTTGAAAAATTATCCTCTAAATAATTTTAAATATATATATATATTTTTAAGATTGGGTAGAAAATAAATATTAAAAAATATACTTTTGAAACTATATAACATAAATATATGTAATAATAACCAGTGTATTCTATCCAATCTAATTTTTAATAAATTCATAAATCAATAAAATCTAAATAAATTTACCACTCACCTCAAAATATACAGATTGGTTTGGTTAGGTTAATAAAAAAAAAAAAATTGAATTATTGAGTTTTTTTTTTATTATTATTTTAACACCTATGGTTTTGTTATTTAGCATAGGGTGCTAAATCAGCTAATTTGGACTGCCATCATTAGTTGGGCAGTCGTTATCAAAGGCTTTTCTATTTAAAGGCTTCTATGTGCAGAATATGAACATCGATGATACTTTATAATTTTTCACAAATTGATGAATGATTTCACTTCACAGAAAGAAATAAAATATGTCATGTAATTGTGACACTGCATCTTAATTTTGTTTGTTTTTCTATTAAACAAAGTGGTTGGATTCTAAGCATCTTATCTCAAAAATTTCAAATTGAAGAACATTGATACTTACTCTTCTCATTTGAAATTGCAAAATGTAAAATAAGAACAAATTAGAGCATAAAGATCAGGGAAGACAAATAGCAATTACTGAATCGAAAGGGGAAAAAAGAAGAAACCCATCTACATGGACAATTTTGTGCCCAACCTAATCTTTCTTGGCGTAAAAATTGATTGGCTTCTGTGAGAGTATGCAATACTCGCAATTACAGTAGCAGCTTGACTGGTACAACAATGGCGGCCATGTTCATGAATCACGATTATTTCTTACGATCCCATCCTGTCGAAACTCTCTGACACTGTTTTCATTCTGGGCCGGAGTTCCGGGTCGCTCTCTGTACAAGCGAGCGCCACGTGGAATACGGCGAGGACCTCTTTCTTGGCATGTACTTCTTGTAGCAGAGCAGGGTCGACCAAATCCGACAATGGCTTTGCTTCTTCAAATCCTTTTCTGACCCATCTCACCAAATCTGGAATCTCCAAAGAAGTCGACGTGTTGGGAGAAAGCTCCGGTGACTTTCCGGTGAGCAATTCGAGGACCATGACTCCGAAGGAATAGACGTCCCATTTTTGGGTGGGGCGACCGCCAGGGGCACGGGCTTCCGGCGCGCAGTAGTTGTTGGTGCGTTCGGTTTGGACGGACTTGAGATAAGAGAAGGCGCCGCCAATGAGGCCGCCGGAGGAGGAGGGGTTGTTGCCGGTGATGCTGATCAAACGGTTGAGGCCGAAGTCAGAGATGTGGGGCTGGAAATCGTTGTCGAGGAGAATGTTGGAGGGCTTGATGTCGCCATGGACGAATTTTCTTGGGCTGCATTCGTGTAGATAAGCCAACCCCCTTGCGGTTCCCTTGGCAATTCTCAGTCTCGTTGACCATGAAAGCACTGAAGATGGCTGCCCGTTTCTCCCTGTTTCGTTTAGCAACGTCAGCGCGACATCAGAAATATGTATGCATCACACCAATTAGGTTTCCCCTATTGTTTTAAATTTTCATTTGAACTTTGGTAAAACCACAGTTAAGTTAAGTTCTAAGACATAAACTAAGTTATAATGAGAGTTATCTTCACTAATCTGTACTTTAATCATCCTTAATATCCTTATTAAGAGCTGGTGTGTCGATAATTATTGGTACTGGTAAGGTTTGGCTGTTTGATTACTGGACTCAAAATACAGCCTTGCAGATATTGTCCTCTTAAGTTTTCCATTCCGGACTTCCTCTCAAAGTTTTAAGAGAGGTTTCTAACCGATATGGATCTCACTTTCTGGACTTCCCCTCAAGGTTTTAAGAGAGGTTTCCACACTATTACAATAGTGTTTTTGTTCTTCTCTCCAACTGAAGTGAGATCTTCCCTTCTAAACTTCTCCTCAAAGTTTTAAGAGAGGTTTCCACACTCTTATAAGAGTGTTTTGTTCCCCTCTTCAATTGATACGAGATCTCACAATTTATCCATTCGAGGCCGTCTTCACTAACACTAGTCTGGTGTCTGACTTTAATGCCATTTGTATCAGTCCAAACTCACATCAAACAAGTATTGTCCTTTTTTCTCAAAGTTTTAAAACGTGTCTTTTAGTAAAGAAATGATTTGTTTCGATCTACAATCACGTGGGATCTCATCGGCTGTTACACAAAACATTCAATTGCGTAAGGAGCAGCGCCTGCAATTCAGGGCTGCGTGGAAAGTGGAGTGAGCACGGGGAATGGGGCCATCCATCGTTGGATCCCACGCTCGGCAATGGCATTAGGCAACCAACCATTATGCCCAACAGAATCCCTCCAAGTCAAGCACCGACCCAAAACTAAAAAACAAATATCCCATACGGGAATTTTCTCCCCCCACTCCAACCAGATAAAAGTTAAAAAGAGCTTTGCATTAATTATGTCTACGCCGTCGAGAGATCATCGATGAAGGGCCCAAAATCATCAAACAGTAGGCCGGGTGGAACCCACGTTCCAAAAAGCTATCACGGGTAGGAGAGTTAGTTGACTAATGTAATAACTACTGGTATTTTGTGTCGTAGAGAGCTAAATTCCAGCAATGTGATCATGAAGAGTGAAATAAAATTAATCCCAAAACAGAAAGGCAAGATCGAGGGAGGAGTTTTGGGTCGCCGTTCAACCAGTAGATTCAGATAAGAACAGAGCAATCAGATAATGAAATGCAAAGGAATTAAGGGACTAACCGCGAAGTGCAGAGGCCAAGTTTCCATTGGAGATAAAATCACTGATCAGAAGCTTCTCATCCGGCGCCCAATAATAAGCTCTCAGTTTCACGATATTGGGATGCTTTACCCTTCCAATGGCCTGCACCTCCGCCACGAACTCTTTATACCTCTGTTCTCCGCCTTCGCCCACCCGCCGTACGGCCACCGGAATCCCATTTCCAAGGACCACTTTGTACACAATTCCTAGTCCACTCTTTCCCAGCACATAGGCTGATGCTCTCAGTAGCTCGTCGAGCTCGAACGTAAAGCCTTTGTCTATGGCCACAAGCCCTCCTTCTTCTTTGCTTCTGTCACTGTTCTCCGGTTCCTCCATTTCGGACTCCTCATTCTTATCTTGTCCATTCATACAAGGAAAACCGCAGAGATCTTTCTGGTTCCCACCGAATTTTCTTTTGGCCGTACAGCTACAGCCGTTCGAATCGTCCTTCCTTCGCCAATATATGTATACTATTATCAGACCGATAAACGCTACTCCGGCGGCGTCGGCGGCTGAGATGAGAATGATTAGTCCGGCGCTCAATCCTTTTCTAGGAGCAATGTAAGATGGCTTCGAATCCGGATTACCCGGTGAGCCACGTTCTGAATTCCCACAAGATTTCTGAAGAGGAAATCCGCACAAGTCGGGATTATTGAGAAATGCAGTCGGTCCCTGATTCGCGAAGGAACCCGTCTGTGGTATGCTTCCGCTCAGATTGTTGCTCCGAAGGTCGAAACTCACCGTCACCGGCAAATCTCCAAGAGTCTTCGGAATTTTACCCGATAAATGATTGAAGGACAGGTTCAGCGTACCGGTAAGTGTCTTCAGTTCCCCCAAATCCTCCGGAATCGATCCACTGAAATCGTTGGATGAGAGATCGAGTTGAAGTAAATTATCCATCCTTGACCACATACCAGACGGGATTTCTCCGTCAAATTGATTTCTGGCGAGTATTAAATGCTGCAACTGTTTACAATTCTTCAATTCGTCGGGAATTGGTCCGGCGAGAGAATTATTGGAGAGATCGAGGTTCTGAAGCCTCGGGATGTTGCAGATCGAAGGGGGAAAAGAACCAGATAGATTATTGCTATAGAGAAATAAGCTATGCAATGAGGTAGCATTAAACAACTGCTCAGGTATGGAGCCGTAGAAATTATTGTTATGGAGGTTCAATCGCCGGAGATAGACAAGCGACCCAAGCTCAGAAGGAATATAGCCATGGAGATTCTTACCAGAGAGAGCAATCCCAACGACACGCGAGTCGCCAGAAACATTCATACAAGAAATGCCAGACCATCGGCAAGGCGTCGAGTCATCCTCGTTCCAATCGGAGAAAACAGAGGAATCAGGCGACTGGTCGACCGCCGACTTGAGAGAGAGAAGCGAGAGACCGTCCGGCGAGAGGGAAAATGCCCTAAAAGAGACCTGAAAGTGAAAAAACAAAACCAAATCGAGGACAAGAAACAGCAGATTCTTCTCCATCATCACCACTGTCGTTCTCCCTCTAGAAAGAGGCAGCAACGGCGACCGGCGGCGGAGGAAGCAATAACCAGAAAAAGAGGAATCGAAATGCGATGAGAGTGGAGGTTGAGTAGTAGAGTGAAGAAGAGAAAACTAGAAATGTTGTTGAGGAAGAGGAGAGGTGGTAGGCTATGGCTGTCTATTAAAGGAGAGAGAGAGAGAGAGTGAGAGCGATTTTGATGGCTGCCATCTTCCTCCCGCCATCTACAAATAAACAAGAGGATAAACTAACGCTGAAAATTACTCTTTTCATCTCTATCATTTCATTTCAACCTAATTTTAATTAATTAATAAAATTAACTTTTAAATTACGGAAAATAATAAAAATATTTTAATCCAAAAAAATGTCAATTTACCAAATACTTTTCAATTTTATTTTTTAAATTGTATTGTAAATGTTTTACCCTCAATCAAACAATCAAATATTAAATTATATTAATTTCGGTTGGAATCACGAATCTCCACAATGGTATGATATTGTCTCCAAAAAATCTCGTACTAATGAAGATGTATTCCTTACTTGTAAACCCATGATCATTCATGAAATTAGCTAATGTGGGACTCCCTCCTCCCAACAATCCTCAACAACCTGGAGTCCTCGAATAAAATACACTCATTGTTCAACACTTCAGTCACTTTTGACTACACTTTCGAGGCTCACAACTTCTTTATTCGACATTTGAGGATTTTATTAACATGGCTAAGTTAAGGGTATGACTCTAATACCATGTTAGAAATCACGACTCTCAACAATGGTACGATATTGTCCACTTTGAGCATAAGCTCTCATAACTTTGTTTTGGGCTTTCCTAAAAAGCCTTGTAACAATGGAGATGTATTCCTTACTTATAAACTTATGATTATTCCCAAAATTACCAAATCACTCCATCCCAACAATTTTCAACCATATCTATTTATTTATTTTCAAACATCTAATTAAAATTTGCATAAAAAATAAATTATAATAAAAAATAAAATTATAGTAAATATGCAAATTATTAAAATCATGGATGAATTTCTGACAAATTTAATTACAGTTTGGCCTAAAATAAATATTATAAAAGAAAAGGAGACGATCTTTTTGAACAAAAAGGATTAAGGGAAGTAGAAGAAAAGCAAAGGGGGGAGAGATGCTTTATGAATGTCGGTCTTTTTATCATTATCTTTGGGCATAATGTTGGATGTTTCTTTGTCCTAATAAACTCTAACAACCATTAATTAATGGTAAATTTTGTTGGAAATATGGCTTTGCCTTATCTTTCTACTATGGTTATCCGTTCAGTTTTTTTTTTTTTTGTTAGAAATCACGACTCTCATAATGATATGATATTGTCCACTTTGAGCATAAGCTCTCGTACCTTTGTTTTGAGTTTTCCCTAAAAGGCCTCATACCAATGATGATAGTATTCCTCCCTTATAAAATCATGATCTTCCAGATATTTTTATCTGTCAATAACTTGGTTAATTATTATTTAATTTTATTGTTTATCAAATAGCATTCAAACTAAAAATAAAGTAATTATCTACAAATATGGATGGGGGATCTTGGAATGGGATTTATTTAAATTCCCAAGGGTGGATTTATTGCATGCATTAATAATTTGAAAACATTTATCAATTTATTATCATTTAACTAAATTTATGAAGAATCTATGTAGACAGGGATGTAGCTAATATAAATATTAATTTTCTAGAAAATGGAATCACTCTAGAAATATATAGATGAAATTAAAAGATGATCAAAATAAAAAAAATAATCAGGTACGTGAGTGAGCACAGTAAGAAAATAGACAACATGAGAATCAACCATCTATTAAAGGCAATCATTATTCTTCAGCTAACAATAATAAATATCTAACGTTCCACAATCACTCCTCCATTTCAGACCTTTAATTGCAGCCTCTCGTGTGGGCCATTTGTTATATATATATATATATAAAAAAGAAGCACTAGTGTTAAATGCATTATGATATGGTTGAGTGGGAAGATGTAGAGGATGATTGTATCTTATTCACAATCATGAAATCATGCTTAGAAGCTAAATAACAAACAAATATGATCTATTTTATACCCTCTACTCACCTTATTCTAATATCTTATCTCTTTTTTATATTATTAACTAAATTAAATATATGTATTCACCGTTTGAGGGAACAAAATATTCTTTATAAGGGTATAGAAACTTCTGCCTAACCAGCCGTGTTTTAAAATTGTAAGGAGAAGTTTAAAAGAAAAATTCAAAGAGACAATATTTGTTTTAAAATTGTAAGGAGAAGTTTGAAAGAAAAATTCAAAAAATACAATATTTGCTAGATGTGAGCTTTAGTTGTTAGAAATGGGTCATGCTATGCCAATAAGGACGCTGAGCCCTGGATGAGAGTGGATTGTGAAATCCCACATCAATTGTGGGGAGAACGAAATATTTTTTATAAGGATATGAAAACCTCTCTCTGAGAGAGGTGTTTTAAAATTTTAAGGGGAAGTTTGAAAAGAAAAATTCAAAAAGACAATTTCTGATACAGATAAGCTTAAGTTGTTAAGAATGGTATCAAAGCCCGACACCAAACGGTGTGCCAGCGAAAATGCTAAGCCTCGACGCGGGAGGACACCAATTGGTGTGCCAACAAGGGACGCTAAGCCCCAAATGAGGGTGGATTATCAAATCCCACGTCAATTGGAGGAAAAATAAAATATTATGGAAACCTCTCCCAATCACCTCGAAGGGAGACTCAAAGAAGACAACATCAACTAATAGTAGGCTTGAACTACTACATATTCGATTTCTCGCTGTTTGAATTTTTAAATCTTAAATACGTACTAAACACGGATTAAAAACTTTAAATAGTGCTTAAAACATGCTTTATAGTGATTTTGCCACGGTTAAACCCAATATCACCTAAAGACCTAGTTTTAACCCTTCAAACCTGATTTTGATGGTATGAAAGTGATATTAACCATTTCAAAATTACATCCAAAATGCCCTACTTCATTTAGTAATAAACAAATGCCACGACAAATGTTCGAGTCTCCTTATTCCACAAGTTCATGAACAAAATAATAACAATAATAATTAATTAATAACTGTAATTATTCGGAATATGTCTTTAATTGTTTCTGAAGCTCACCTATTAATCAATCATTCACATAATTTAATTAATGAAACTATTATTGCCACAGCGGTAACAAATTATTACAGTTTTACAACAAAAGAGGATCAAATATAAACAGACATTTTCAAATCCAATACATAGCAACATTGAAGAATAATAATTTAGTTCAACCTAACATACAAAAACAAGCAACAGATTTAGGGGTAATAAAATAATATAGAAGGTAGAATTAGAAGTTTAATTTTTACCTTGGGTATTGCTTAATCTAAGGTTTAATGATTATTGTTGGAGTAGTTGGAAAGGTTGGGTCTACAATTGATGTAATTTATTATCCATGTCTTTCTTCTTTCATTTATAAGAGGCTGGTCAGCATGCATGTGATTTTACATAAAAACTTCTATATACTCCTTAATGGGGCATTCCCCAAATCATATAAACACTCGTAATTCCTTTTATCCAACATAGTAATACCATTTATTCAACACTTCCTCAACTATTTTAAATAATGATTCAAGCTATGCAATATCATCTAAAATATGGGTCATTATCAACATTGCAAAAAAAGAAGTTGTGTATCCATTCTAAAATAGGGTAAATTGGTCGCATTAAATGGACTCGTTGAAAATGATTTTGATCTAGTTCATGGCCTATTAGAAGTAAAAGGTGCTCTATTGGGATTGGGATCCTCACGGACAAAAAAAGATGGCAGTTGATTTGGTAATGATCGAGTGACATTGTTTCTTCGGTCCGAATCTAGGAATCTCTTAGATATGATACAAAATGGATCTTGTTCTATTGTTGAGATTTCTCTATGAATAATACGAATTGAAGTTTGAAGAAGGGGAAGGAGGAGGAGTCCTTGCCCCGCAACAGATAGAGGAGGATTTATTCAATCACATAGTTTGGGCTCCTAGAATATGGCGCCCTTGAGAATGAATTGGAACTTCTCTATTGGGCTAGGTCATTTCGAGACAAGTGGATCTTTCTAATGAAGGGAAGGTCTGTTTGACATCCACAAATTGCTCAACAAGAATCGGACAAGCGAGGAATGCTAGGGTAAAAAGTTTGGGTAGAGCTAAATCTAAATGTTGGCTAGGTAAACAGTAGTTATGAATCCTTGCAAAATTAATCAATAAGTCTAAACTTTCAATTTGGCCAAAGTTGTTCAAGCAATTTACCTGGAAGTCCCTATTTTATGAGTCCTCCATACCTCAACAGTACGATAAAATGATTGTTCCTGAGGCTAAAAAGTGAAGACAGCTGTAAAATAAGAATTAATAGCTTGGGGTCCAAGGGATCATATTAAATCTCAAACAATGATGTGATATACTATACAAGTCTATGTCCTACAATTTAACCAAATAAGCTCAAATTCCCAATCTGCATTGCACAATGAGATCAACAGTCATCACCAAATAAAAGAGATCAAATGAACTGTTGGATTCAAATTTTCAAGCAAAAAACTGCTACATTCTTAAATTTTTAATTACTGAATACATTTTCAATAGCAAGCTAGCTTAATTATTGCATTTTCATATAAATGTAGGTCCAAAGAATAAGAAAATGATTTGGAATTTATCTCTCAGATCATACTTTCCTAAGTTGTGCATATGCCAGAATGATTAGGGGATGGAATAAACATAATACCAGCCAACATGGAGTAACATTGACTCAGGAATTTATTATTATTATTTTAATATTCTACATGTTCTGAATAATATTTTTAAGAATAATGATATTTTTTTTATAATAAAAATATTATAGTTTATGTTAGTGTGTCAGGTTAGACTGTTGCATAGTAAAGCTGGAAGTGTAGTTCAAGAAAGAAATCGAAGGAATAATTTGTTGAATAGGCAACTCTATGTTGAAATTTTGTCTTGCTTTAAAATGAGACCATACAGTGGTGTGTTTATTTATTTGTTAGTTAATTCATTTGAACATGAACTCAATAGTAAATACGGAGTACAATTAGCTAATTCCACCCCTCGCATATATTGTCCTCTTTGGACTTTTCCTTATAGACTTTGTGATATCCCACATTGGTTGGGGAGGAGAACAAACTACCATTTATAAGAGTGTGGAAACCTTCCCCTAGCAAACGCGTTTTAAAGCCTTGAGGGGAAGCCCGAAAGGGAAAGCATAAGGGTGTGGAAACCTTCCCCTAGCAGACTCGTTTTAAAGCCTTGAGGAGAAGCCCGAAAGGGAAAGCCCAAAGAGGACAATATCTGCTAGCGGTGGATCTGGGCCGTTACAAACTTTCCCTCAACGTTTTAAATCGCGTCTATTAGGGAGAGGTTCGACACCCTTATAAAAAATGTTTTGTTCCCTCTCCAACCAACGTGAGATTTTACTATTTATAATATCTCAAGCTCACCACTAATAGATATTGTCTTCTTTGGACTTTCCCTTTCGGGCTTCCTCTCAAAATTTTAGGGAGAGGTTTCCACACCCTTATAAAACAATGTTTCGTTTCCCTCTCAAACAAATATGGATCTAACAAAACTGAACAAAAACCCAATTTCAGATGAAACTATGCTTAGAAACGGGAAATGGATATACGATATGCATATCGACATGATAAGGAGAGGTAATCAGGAGATACCAATAGCAACTCTGTTACTGACCTCGTCTCAGAATGTTGCATGATAAATTGCTCTTCTAGACAGTTCAGCAGCTTCTTCAACTGATAAATCGTACCGGTAGCTGCAGACACGTTGGAAATCAGAATACCTCAACTCCAAATTGAAGTTTGGCATAGTCAAGAATTACTAATTGTACATGAAGGAATGAAGCATAGCAGTGTGTTAAAAAGTAAATTTCTCTAACTTTTTCAGGGGTATGCTAAGATTTTTGTACCAATGATGTTGGGTTACAAGTTTCTATTTCGATGAAGATGAAGGACAAGTAAAAGCAAAGATGAATACCCATTGTCCAGGACACCATGCACATAAGGTGAACCAGATTCAACTGACATTCGAGTTCCTTTCAATTCTCCTCCTTCACTGTCAAATAATGCAAATAATACAATCCAAGCTGCAATCCCATAAGGTATTTAGGAATCATGGATCTCCACAATAGTATTGAACATAATCTCTAATGGTTTTGTTTTTGGACTTCCCCAAAAGGCCTCATATTTACTTATAAACCCATGATCATTCTCTTAATTAGCGAATGTGGGACTCCCTCCCAACGATCCTCAACATGGTTTACCATGGAGAACACACGAATCCACCCAAACACTCGGCTAACCGATTTTTCAGGAGGAAGACCAAGGGGATTCTTGGAATGGCAAAATCAAAACGGAATGGTTACCAACTAGTTTATGCGGTCCGAAAAGATATCAGGAGTTTGTTTGGTTAACTATCAAGAGAGTTAATTGTCCAAAATCTTCAGTTCCAATTCCTTCAATTAAAACAAAGTGGACCAGACCTTTCTAATTGTTTATAAGAGAAAAGGACAGCTTGGAATCAATAGGAATCAATAGGAATCCAAAAACTAACCTTGTTCGAGACGGTCCCCTATCAAGTATCTTTTTTTAACTAAAATTACAGTTAACTTTCTCCATTTGCAACCTCTCCTCTACGCCAGGCGCACCTGAAATATACTTCGAGTGCAACCTGAACTGCACCCATCTTTTTGCAGCTCACTCCGTTGTCTAACCACAGTTTGCCACATGATAAACTCTTTTTTTTTGTTTAAAATATATTTTGTTTTTTCAAATGTGGGTGGATTTGGCTACAAAAAAATGAGTTGAACCCAAGATGCACTCAAGTATTTCTCCATCACACCGCCCCTTAACTAATTGCCAAAATTATTAGGTGGGGTCCTTTCTAGATTTTCCTTTCGGTAACCGTCCAAACCCACCGCTAATAGTTATCATCCTCTCTGAATTTTTTTTTCTGGTCTTCCCCTTACGGTTTTAAAACACGTCCGCTAAGGAGAAGTTTCCACACCTTTATAAGAAAGACTTCGTTCTCCTCTTTCCTTTCTCTCTTTCTTGTTATGTCCCAGCTAATCAGACCCCTCAAATAGGAGTAGGTGCAAAATGACCGTTTTTCCTCTAATATTGGCTTCTACTTTTTTTTAATATTACAACTATCCCGAGCCTAATTTCTTTCTTCATCGACTTGATCGGTCTCCATGGCCTACAATAAAATCTCATCTCATGACCTACATGTATATGAATCTTAGGAAGGAAAGCAAGAGTCATTGATACCTCCTAAGCTCGGGTGTTACACATGTTCACTCACATAAGCACAGAATTTGGAATATCAAAAGACGTCACCGAAAAAAGTGGCTGATTCCTGACCAGTAGTGTCCATCTTCATTATCAAGATCTTGTGGAAAATAAACAACAAAAATCCAAATAAAACATTTGTTATTAACAAGCACAACTGAATATAGCACACACAAGAAGAAAGCTCCTCTGTCGCCATCGGGCGATCAATTATAAACAACGAAGGCGAAAACTGTACACATAGTAATAAACCCAAAAATCAGAGTCTCAGCTAACAATCTCATCCTCTTTCTGCATCGTCTCAGTAACCAAACTGATTCCACAACTATTGCTACAAATCATATTTGTAACGTGATTCAATAAAGGAAATGATCATAATGAAATACAACAAAACTTTCGGCAATCGCCATTATTTGAAGAAGATAACTGAAAAATACAAGTCGATTAGCGAACAAGATTTCGACGATACCGTTTAAAGGATGATGCAGAGACGATTGCAGGCGTATATCGAGGACGACGAACAATGAAGTGAACTAAACGAGGGTTATTGTAAAAAATGGCGCCTTCTTTGAAAAAATCAGTATTTCTCGACTCCTTTTTAAACTTTTAGTTCATGTGCAGTTACCGTTTTACCCTTGTGAATTTATGAGACTATATTCTCTAAATTTTATGTTTCAATCGATTTTTATGTCCTTCGTCGTATTTAATGTCTTGCTTTTATTTGTTTAATTTTTTAAAATATTTTTTATTGAATTTTTAATTTATTTATGTTATTTGAATTATTTTGTTTTACCATTGTCATTCATTTAATTATTAATTTATTAATAAACAGAACTAACCGTTTGAGATACTTTTATGATATTTAAAAATTATGTTATCCAAATTTGTCATTACAATTAAATATATATTAATTTTATAATTTATTTATTATTATACGTGAAACAAAAATTTAAAACATGTTGGTTCAACTCCTAATTAATCATTAAAAAATAAAATTTACACATTACAATAATTCTTTAAAATAACTATTTTTAATAATAATAAACTGAAATAAATTTTGGAACCTTATCCTAGGACTTATGTGCTAAGAATTTTCATTCTCGTTCCCACAAAAATAAATGTATAATTTCGTAGAAATATATAATGAAAAAAATAGAGTGTAAATGAGAAACAAATCTCTGTCCCCATCTCGGCTTATGGATATCTTTATGTAGATTAAAACATAAGGTTTGAGCGTGGAGGGGCAGTGGTATCCACTAAAAAATAATCCTTATGGAACATCGGCCGTGGATCCAAATTAAATGCTTATAAGTCAATTCTAGCCCACGTTCACCATTTTATTAAAATTATTTTATTTTTCTTTTAATTAAAATATGAGTTTATTATGACCCAATCCATAATTCATCCAATGAATTATATGAAGATATCGAAGTCATGTCGAGCAAGTACATGAAATTTCATTTTCTCAACAAATCTTTCATATTCTCTTTTCGCCGTTCACAGTATGTAGTTGCTAAAAGGTCAAGGATTCAATTGGATGAGATCATATTCTAGACCAGTGACTAAGTTATATACGATGGTGAACTTAAAAAAAAAACATTAAATAGTTTTATCTTCATTAAAATTCACACATTTTATTATATTATTAATTGACCTATATATAAAATAATTGGAGATAAAAAGAAAATTCCTTGTAATTTAAGTTTTTTAGCAATAAATAATTGAAGCCATTTTGCACTGTCATACAACATTTATCTCAACGGTTAAAATGTTTAAATTTTTACTATTGGTAGTAAAATGAATTTGGTAAAAATTAAATTGAAAGGTAATAGTTAAGTCTATTATGAATTGAGTTTATAAATTGAGTAGGTAAAGTCACAACTGCTAAAAACAAACAAATAAATTAGTTAGTCAATCTTTTTTTTATACCACACTCCATTTTAAAAGGATAAATTTCTAAAAATTAATTCATTATTTTGATACACCAACAAACGATGACGTTTAATCGAACTCAGAAAATGATAGAATTATTAATTTTTTAATATATTTTAGATTTTATTTAATTATATCATAAGGTATATTTCAACGTGAATTTTCGCACCCAATTATTAAAAAATTTATTATTATTTTGTTAAAGCACCTTTTAAAAATTACTAATACTAACATGTCTTTAAACTATTATTTTAATATCAAATAGATTATTAATAAATTTAAAATTTGTAATAATAAATTATATTTTAGATACAAATTTAAATTTTTATCTAACAATTTTTTTAAAAGTAAATTTATAAATTGTATTCAAATTTAATAACTATTTATTGGACACTATGGTAATTATAATTGTTTATTTATTTTTTAAATCTATAAAAATTAGGAAACAAATTTTTTTAATACTATAATATTGCAGTCATTTAATTTCTACATTTTACACGTAATTTTGTGATTATTTATTTTATTTTATTTTAGAAGTCTTCTCAAATTATTAAAACCATGAAATATTATAAATTTTCTGCACACCTTGTAGCCACGTCATTGGTAAACCACGTGTATGGTTTTATTTCTTTCATTGTCTGTGCAAAGGACGCGTGGGCTTTATTATGACGTAAGAAGAGATATTTTCTTTAGGAAATTCAGGCGAGCCTTTATGAGACAACGAAATAATTCAACACGTTATAGGGATTAAAAAATATATAAAATAATCAGACGTGTAAAGCCACGTGGTGACGACGAGACGATATCTCCGGGAATTACTCGTTGACAACGTGGACACAGATGGAAAAAGGAGTCCACCTTGGAAATTAATATAAAATGACGGAATCATGAGTTTACTTTATTTAAATTAATTATTATTTTGGTTTCAAAATTTAACGAATAGATTTTCCTTTTCCTTTTTGGTCAACTTGACCACGCTATTAACGGATCTAGTAGCCGACATGCCAAAGTTTCAGCCACTGTCTTGAAAACTCCATTTTTATCAGAAAAATCTATAATTACAAAAGTTATATATTGTAATTAATTTTAACTTTATAAAATATATATATATATATATATGTTATAAATTTAATTCGCTTATGTTTCCTTTGAAACTCTATTGAATTTAATTGAACCAATTCGCTGCTTAATCCACTATATTTATTATTTAACATATTTAATATTTTATTATAGACAAATATCTACCTATTTGTCTATAATAAAATAAGTAGACATATTTGTCTTATTACCGTAAGTATGTTTCCATATATTGTTATTTCAATTTATTATTATTTCTATATCTTTGTAATTTATTTAATTATAAACATAGAACTTTCACACACTATTTAGGTGCAGTGGATTAGGCAAACATTCTCAGTGAGACCCCACGATAGATGGAAAGAGGAACAAAATATTCAATATAACAGTGTGAAAACCGCTCTTAAGCATACGCATTTTAAAAAGTAAGACTGGCGACGATACGTAATGGATCACGATGGACAATATTTACTAGCCGTGAGTTTAGACAGATATATTTGTTCTCTAATACTCTTAAAAATGATTTTAAACTATTTTTAAATTTTAATTAAATGTTTTGAAATAAATATATATAGATAATTTACGAACTAACTTTTAATTTTTATTAAAAAAATTGAATAAACATCTCGAAACAATCCAACTCAATAAATTTAAGTTGGTTCTAAAAAGACGTCTCAACCCAATCGATGAAAATTTATATTCACTTTTTCTCGAAATAAATTATAAGAAATTAATAATATAAAAAATGTATTTTTTTTTCATTAAAAGTCACAATTATAAATAGAAGGTAAATGTGTGGAGGTGGGGTTCAAACTGCTCTTGGTTACATAGATTAATTAAAAATACTTTTATTGAAAAAAAATTAAAGTAATTTATACTTTTTAAAGTTAAAGTATCATTCTTTTAGTTAATATAATTTCTCCGCGTGGTTCTCATAATTTCAATAAATTTAAATTTAGTCATATAAAATTAATTTTTATCAAATTTGATTAAGTAATAACAATAATATTCAAATAAAAAAGATTAATGTAAATATATTTTAATAATTTATTAATAAATTCTTAATCGATTTAATTATTAATGCATGAACTACAAATATTAAATTAAATTAAAAATCTTATTTGTTATTATTATTTATAAAAAAAAAATGGCACAATAAAAGGTTACAGTTTAAGCACAAATTGGTCCTACGATCCACGTGGAAAATAATTATTCTCTATTGAATAATTTCAACTTTAAACGAAAAAAGGCACACTTCCCACTGTTCACTGAGAAAATTGTTGTCATTCCATTAAGACAGCACATAGATAATAGTTTGAATATATTTTAAAAATAAAATTTTAATCAATTTATCTATATAATAAAATATCAACGAAAATACTTTAAATATGTTTTTTTAAATAATTTTCAAAATATTTTTATGTTTTTCATCCCTATGTGTTTTCTCGGTGTCTAAATTAGTTAATTACTAAGCTATAAATTCTAATATCAATATCCAAATTAAAAAATTTAACAAATCCTGATTTTTTTTAAATATAATATTTTATTAAAAATATAACGTATCATAATGCACGTTTAAACCTAACGACCCCATTTTTTATACCATATTAAATTGTAACTGAGTCTATAAAAAATTAAAATTCCTTGTATTTTAGTCGTCTAAGGGTTCTTAGTTATCAATGTATTCCGAGTATAAATTATATTAAGTGGAATTATTATTAGAAAATATTAGACTGATGCATAAAACGAACCACCATTTATAAAGATGTGGAAACCTTCCTCTAGTAGAAAGCGTTTTAAAGCTTTGAGGGGAAGCTCGAAAGGGAAAGCCCAAAGAGGACAATATCGGCTAGCGGTGGATCTGGGGCATTACAAATGGTATCAAAGTCAGACACTGAACGATGTGCTAGCCTTATTGCTGTTATCCGAAGGGGAGTAGACACGAGGCGGTGTGTCAGTAAGGCCGCTGGGCCCCAAAGGGAGGTGGATTTGGGGGCAGTCCCACGTCGATTGGAGGAAGGAAAGAGGATGCTGGGCATGAAGGGAGTGGATTGTGATGTCCCACATTGGTTGGGGAGGAGAATAAACCATCATTTATAAGGGTGTGGAAACCTTCTCTTAGCCGACGGGTTTTAAAGCCTTGAGGGGAAGCCTAAAGAGAACTATATCCGCGGGAGGGGGTGTTTTTTTTTTTAAATTAATTAATTAATTTAAAATCTCAAAGATCCGAGACCCAATCGACGCGATAGGTTTAAAATACTAGAGAGTTATCCCCATCACCAACAGGCTGCCACATCGGAAAGGGTAAAAGAGGAATTTTCTTTTTAAAAAAACCCTAATTTATTTGAGCCTGCTCATAAATAAATTGGGATTTAAAAATTAAAACCATTTTCCATGACAATAATAGTCACTTGCCACTCACGCCCATCTCTCTCCTCTCAAATCTGTTGAGTTGATATTGCGCTTTCGAATAACTCTCTCTCAAGAGTTTCGATCTCCGATTTGATGCATCAACTGTAAGGAGATGAAAGTCTACAGAAGATTCAGCAGCG